AAAAAAAAAAAACCTACATTGGAGTTGCATAATCATAGATTAATATAACCTTTTTTTTTTCTGATTAATATAACCTTCAAATCCTAGGCGCAGGGTATCCTCAACCTCCTGAGTAGCTGGAACTACAGGCATGTGCCACTATACCCCACGAATTTTTTTTTTCTTTTGGTACAGATGACGTATGGCTGTATTGCCCAGGCTGGTCTCAAACTCTTGACCTTAAGCAATCCTCCCACCTTGACCTCCCAATGTGCTGAGAATATAATTGGACCACATGGGTAGTTCCACTACAGGGATTTTTCCTGCATCCTAAAGGGCAACCCCTACCTGGGTACACAAGTGTACCCCAGTGTCACCCACTCATCCCCAGCTCTAGACATTAAGGCCATCATCTGGGGCAGCATGCACACTCTTCCCACCCCACACCTGTCAGCTTTAGAGCTGAGGGAAGAACAGGAGCTGGGCTTCAAGCTGAATGACAGACGCACCTGAGGGAATGCCCAGACGTGGTCAGGATGGCATGCAAGTGTGTGAGCAGGTGTGCAAGCTTGCTCACACCTCATGCACCAGCAGGGGTTTCTGTACGAGAGGGACTCATGCTCACCTCTCTAGGACTCCGTAGCCATAAATAAATATATAGCTGTGACATGAATGCTGCACCATTAAATATGATGCCCTTGGCCAAATGCAGTGGCTCCTGCCTGTAATCCTAACTCTCTAAGAGGCTGATGTGCGAAAATCCCTTGGGCTCAGGAGTTCAAGATTAGCCAGAGCAAGACCCTGTCTCTACTAAAAATAGAAAAAAGTTGCTGGGTGTTGTGATGGGCACCTGTAGTCCTAGTTACTCAGGAAGCTGAGACAGGAGGATCATTTGAGACCAGAATTTTGAGGTTGCTTGAGCTAGGCTGACACCACAGTACTCTGGCCTGGGTGACAGAGCCAGACTCTGTCTCAAACAAACAAAAAAAAGTGGCGCCTTTATGAGGTGCATAACCCAGATACCTGAATAGACTCCCTGGGCCTATGGATGCTATCCCCATTTATGGATGAGGAAAAACAGCAGTAGGTCAGTCATCTAAAGAAATGTACCAGGTGACCAGGGCTTCCCTCCAAACCTACCTCTTTCCAAAACCAAGAGCTACCCTTGGGCTCCAAAACTCCCAAAAACACAAGCTCTGCTGGCTGAGGTGGAGATGGATGAAGGTGGAGAAGGCATGTCTAAAACCCACATGCACACACAGAAACCCACTGATAAGCTGGTACTGGAGAGGGTGGGATATGGGTAGAAACGGTCATCTCTGTTCTGGGTAAGAGGGAGCCAGGGAATGTTCAGGGCTGCCTCCATGGGCAGAAAGGCAGCAGCTCTGGGTAATGGCAAGGAGGATGGGATTGGTCCAACTGTTTAGTACAAGAAGGTATCGTCCCCTGCCCATCACTGATCAACATTAGGAGCAGGTTGCTAGAAGCCAATACCCCCCACCCAATCCAAAGTATTTTCTATAGAGCTGGAACTCAAAAGAGGACCCTTGGCCAAAAGAGATTTTTTTCAATGTTTATCCCTAAGATGGACTAAAAAGGACCACAAAGGTATCTTACACAAGATCAGCATCTTATTTCAAAGAGAAAAAAGTGGCCCAGAGAGGGCAGGTAACTTGAGGCCACCCAGGCCAACTTGACCTGTGGTCAAGTCAGGCATTGATAGCAAGCCCATGACTCTCAGGTGGAGCCCTTCCTTCCACTCTGGTAGGCCTTTTATCTGTTCACATCTGTACCCTTTTACCCACTTAGAGCCAATACTGAATCTTATATTCATTATCTGAGGATACAAAGTTGGTGGGTGGGCCTTGGGGCAAAGCCTCTCTTGATTTCTCAGCAATGGTACACCAGTCTCACCATGACAACCAAGAAGCAAAGAATGCCTCTTGTTACCCATGCAGAGGTCACTGTCTTAAAGTCACTCATGAAATAGCAACATGGGCTCGGCGCCTGTGGCTCAAGCGGCTAAGGCTCCAGCCACATACACCTAAGGTGGCGGGTTCAAATCCCCAGCCCGGGCCTGCCAAACAACAATGATGGCTGCAACTAAAAAATAGCCAGGCGTTGTGGCGGGCGCCTGTAGTCCCAGCTACTTGGGAGGCTGAGGCAGGAGACTCGCTTGAGCCCAGGAGTTGGAGGTTACTGTGAGCTATGATGCCACAGCACTCTGCCCAGGGGGATAGCTTGAGGCTCCGTCTCAAAAAAAAAAAAAAAAAAAAAGAAATAGCAACATGACTAGGTGCTGATCTGGCCCAAACAGTCAGGACTGGGTGTGCAGTTCCCCTAGGTTTCAGCCCCCAACACAGAATGCAAAGGCACAAGACATCAGGGTTAATAAACAGCTTTATTTGCCTTGTACAGCATTGATTTTCTTACATTCTCAATTAATTTGCCATTAAAGTGCTGGAAATTTTCTAAATTACAATAACATTTTAAAAGAAATCAGAATATCAGGAGCATGGCAGTTGTGAATACATTTCTCTCACAAAACACAGACTGGAAGCCCCTCAATTTGAGCTGGTGGGTTGGACAATTTGCAAACAAATTTTAATTCCCTCTCACCACCAGCACCAAACCATCTGGGAACGCCACCCCTGGGGGGAAAAAAGCAATGCTAAAGAGCTCTAGAAACACCCACACACCCCAGCTGTCGCCTCCTCTGGGCCATCTTTGGGTGTCTGTTGTTTGAATGGATCCAATCTTAGGAGAAATAGAGATGTGGCCCTCTCTGCTGCCTATTACCCCACCCTCCCATACTAACAAAAGCCCCAAAAGTCATTACAATGAAAAAGTGGGTTTCTGATACCCCATGACTAACAATGTTCAGTAAAAATGATAATAAACACAAAAGCTTGCTTAGTAAACAGGAGCTCTCAGCGTTCAATGCAAAAAAACCCCTGAAATCTTAAGGCAAATGCTGCTGACTTTGCACGTGGGCTGAATGAACTTGGAATTCTTTGCCTAACTATATAGTTCCAGAAGCCGAAAAGGCAGTTGGTTTTTCAGTGCTTGCCACCAAGAGAGGCAAGCTCTCTGCATTATTGCTGAGGCTGTCGGTGTGTTTCTCTTTGGAGTTTATATACAAACACACCCGAAGCTGCTGTTTTGTTATATATATATATGTACACACATAACAGAGGCCTGCTACTCTTTCTTTGTGGAAACCGCCAGCTCCACCTCAGGAAGCTGGATGCCAACCTTAGTCCCACTGTCATTGCTAGAAGAAGAGGACAGTCGGGACTTCTTAGAGGCCAAGGACACTCCACTCCCTTGTAACTTGCTTGCCTCATCATCGCTCCCAGTCACCTCATAATGACCTTTGCTCTTTGACCCCAATCCACCAAAGGTACCGAATTTCAGCTTCCCATGTTTCCCTTTCACTTTCCCACCTTCCAGTGACACTTCCCCACCTTCAAACTCCAAAGTCCCCGTGGGGGTGGAAGGTGCAGAGAACTCCCTTTCATCACTGAATGAATTTGAGCGGTGCCGGGGCTTCTTACTTTTAAATAAAGAGAATTTGCCTTTGGGTGAAGAAGTTTCAGCCTCTGCCTCTCCTTCCAGAGAGCCTAGGCTGGCTTTTGAACTTTTCAGGTCACCTTTAGACCCAGAAATGGATGCTTCTGGTGAGCCAGTGATACCACCTTTCCCTTTAGGTTTGGAAAAACTAAACTTGGGCATTTTGATTTTGGATTTTTTAAGTTTTGCTTCAGACTCTTCCCACTCGCCTTCTCCAGCACCAGCCTGGACGGTTGCCTCTACTTTAGGGAAGTTAATATCCACCCCCACTTCTCTGCCAACTAGCTCACGGCCAGAGAAGGTAAATTTGGGGATCTTCATCTTGGGGAATGTTACTTTTCCAGATCCACTTTCCAGGTGACCTTGAGGCCCAGACACACTTAGCCCAGGAGCCTGAAGTCCACTCTGAGTTCCTTTCACATCTCCTTCTATCTTTGGTCCTGAGAAATGAAGGCCCCCAGCAAACTTAGATGCATCCAAGTTGAGAGCAGAGGAGACCTGGGGTCCCTTCCACTCACCCCCAGAACCTTTGACACTCACATGTCCTTTGTCCAAGCTAATATCTGGGGCACTGACACCCCCTGAAATATCCACACCTCCTTTGATTTTGGGGGCCTTCAAGCTGATGCCAAGATCTGACTCAGGAGATGACACATTGAAAGAAGGCCCTTTCACACTGATATCAGGAACAGCCCCATGGAAACCTACACCTGAACCTTTTAGGTCGCCTTTGACTTCAGGACCAGAAATCTGCCCGGTCGGGAGTTTCACATTCACTTCTGGTAGGGCCACATCACATCCAGAGGACTTAATTCCAGGCATTTGGAAGTTTCCTCCTAGACCTTGAATGCTGACACCCGGAAGACCTCCTTCAACAGTGGGACCTTTCATCTCACCAGTGGCCCCAACACTCCCTTTCACTTTTGGTCCTTCCAAGTTAAAGTCCACATCTGGTGCTGAAATCTGAGGCCCTTTCAGGTTCACATTCATGCCTGGCCCCTTTAGCTCCCCAGCAACTTGTGGCCCCTTGATATTAATGTCCAAGTCAGACCCTGGGGTGGAGATGCCAAATTGGGGCAGCTTCATTTTAGGAAGTTTCAGGCCACCTTCAGATGCCTCCAAGCTTAGGTCAGGAGGACCTACAGATACTTTAGGGCATTTGATGTCACCAGAGACACCCAGGTCTCCCTGCAGGCTTGGTCCCCTTAGCGTCACGTCTGGTGCCCCAACTTTAAGTGTTGTTGTTGCATCAATCCCCGGAACTTTCACACCATCTCCTCCTACCTGCACCTTTCCATCAGCACCTCTGAGGTTGAGCCCTGGAGCATGCACCTTCACACTGGGAACAGATGCATCCACATCCCCTTTTATACTTGGTCCTTTCAAGTTCAGGTCGAGGTCAGAGCCAGAGACTTTTGGCATAGAGAGGTTCACTGAAGGCAAGTCAGCTCCTAGTCCCTTTAGAGAGACATCAGGCCCTTCGAGCTTAACATCTGGTACACTCAAGCCTCCTTCAAGAGAAGGAAGCTGGGCATGGACCTCAGCACTCCCACCTTCCATGTTCACACCAGGGACACCAATCTTGGGCATTGAAAATTTGGGGAACTTGATTTTTGCTTCTGGACCTTGCAGATCTATGTCTGGTCCTTCCAGTCCCACACTGGGAACATCGCTCTTTATCTTTGGTCCTTTCAAGTTCACATTCACGTCAGGGATAGAGACTTGAGGGGCAGAAATGCCGAAAGATGGTGCTTTGATTTTAGCATCTGGGCCTTCAATGTTGAGGTCAGGTGCATCCAAGTTGGCCTGCATCCTGGGGCCTTTCAAATCACCCTCTATTTTTGGCCCTGAGACATCCACACCTGGCATCTTGAACTTGGGAGCCTTTACCTTGATATCAGGACCTTCAACATTAATCCCTGGTGAAGAAATATCCACATCAGGCGCCTGAATTTCACCCTCCATTTTGGGGCTAGGGAGGGCAGCCTCAGCTTTAAATTTGGGTGATTTAATGTCAAACTCCACATCCGGGAAGTACATTTTTCCAAACATAGGTTTCTTGGTTTTGGGAGATTTCACATCAACTTTGAGTGTGGCATCCGGCCCTAGAACATTGACATCCACATCAGGAGCCTTGAGACTGGCATCAATTTCACCCCCAGGAGCATTCAAATCAAATCCCTGTTTTTTGGCCTTAATTTTAGGACCACTCATATGAATTTTAGGCATTTTAAACTTACTTTTCTTGCCCTTGGCACCAACACTGATTTCAGGAGTCTCAAGGTTCAGCTCTGCCTCAGGAACAGTCACATCTACTGAAGGTGTCTTGATGTCAGCTTTAGGGCTTTTTGCCCCAAATCCAAATTTGGGTTTCTTAAATTTGGGAATTTTAACATCTGGTCCCTCAACATTGATATCTGGGCTCTCAACGTTTACATCTAAGCCTGGAGCTTCTAAATCAACTTTAGGCCCTTTGAGGTCCATTTCACCACCTTCTATTTTTGGACCAGAAACTCCAATTTTTGGTGTCTTGAGATGTAAATCAATATCAGGAACAGTCACTTTAGGAGCAGATATATCCAGTGATGGCATCTTCAAAGTTGGGCCACTGAGTTTGACATCAGGGACTTCGAAATCCAGACTTGGACCTTTAAGATCAACTTCTGGGCCTTTCAAAGTACCTTCCATCTTAGGGACAGATACATCAAAATCTCCTTTCACTTTAGGTCCTTTCAAATCCAGGTCAACATCAGGCATGGAGATCTTGGGAGTTTTGATATTTATCTCAGGCATCTTGAACTTAGGGCCCTTTAGTTTTGCTTCTGGACCTTCAAGATTCACATCTGGAACGTCAATGTCTGCCTTGGGTCCTGAGACATCAATGTCAGCCTTAGGCAGGTTCACATCTACTTCTGGGCCCTCCCCTTTGAAGCCAGGCATGCTGAATTTGGGCATCTTTACCTTGGGCATCTTCAGGTGCCAGTCGGGGCCATGAACATCTACATCTGGGGCACTGATGTCCACTTTGGGGCCTTTGATGTCAACTTCAGGGCCCTTAAGGTCACCTTCCACATTGGGCAGAGAAACATCCATATCACCCTTTACTTTGGGACCTTTCAGGTTTAAGTCAATGTCAGGCATGGAAATCTTGGGGGCTTTGATATTCATCTCAGGCATCTTGAACTTGGGACCCTTCAGTTTTGCATCTGGGCCTTCAATATTCACATCTGGAACATCAATGTCCACCTTGGGTCCTGAAACATCAATATCAGCTTTGGGAAGGCTCACGTCCACTTCTGGACCCTCTCCTTTGAAGCCAGGCATGCTGAACTTGGGCATTTTCACCTTGGGCATCTTTAGGTGCCAGTCAGGGCCATGAACATCCACATCTGGGACATCAATGTCCACTTTGGGGCCCTTCATGTCAACTTCAGGGCCTTTGAAATCACCTTCGACATTGGGCAGAGAAACATCCACATCACCCTTCACCTTTGGACCCTTCAAATTCAGGTCAACATCAGGCATGGAGATTTTGGGTGCCTTGAGGTGCAGGTCAGGCATTTTAAACTTGGGGCCCTTCAGTTTCCCTTCTGGACCATGAATGCCAATGTCAGGAGTGTCTACCTCTAGCTTAGGGCCTTTAACATCCACTTTAGGGCCTTTCAGATCCCCTTCCAGTTTAGGAATGGAAACATCCACATCTCCTTTTATCTTAGGTCCTTTCAAGTTCAAATCAATGTCACTCATAGAGATTTGTGGAGTTTTGAAATGTACATCAGACATCTTAAACTTGGGACCTTTGAGTTTCCCTTCAGGACCTTCAATGTCCACCTCTGGCCCTTTCAGATCACCTTCCACCTTAGGTAGTGAAATGTCCATATCACCTTTTACTTTGGGGCCTTTCAGATGCAAATCAAAGTCAGGCATAGAGATCTTGGGAGTTTTGATGTTCATCTCAGGCATCTTAAATTTGGGTCCCTTTAGTTTTCCTTCTGGACCTTCAATATTGACATCAGGAGTATCAATGTCCACACTGGGAACCTTCATATCAACTTTAGGGCCCTTGAAGTCACCTTCTACTTTGGGCAGAGAGACATCTACATCACCCTTCAGTTTGGGGCCCTTTAAGTTAAAATCAATATCAGGCATGGAGATTTTGGGGGCTTTAATGTTCATCTCTGGCATCTTGAACTTTGGGCCCTTCAGTTTTGCATCTGGACCTTCAACATTGACATCTGGGATATCAATATCCACGTTGGGGACAGAAATGTCAATGTCAGCTTTAGGAAGGGTAACATCAACATCTGGGCCCTCTCCTTTGAAGCCAGGCATGCTGAACTTGGGCATTTTCACCTTGGGCATCTTCAGGTGCCAGTCGGGACCTTGGACATCCACATCTGGAGCATTGATGTCCACTTTGGGGCCTTTGATGTCAACTTCAGGGCCCTTGAGGTCACCTTCCACTTT